ATAACCTACCTACAAGTTAGAAACTTGTAGGTATCATGTTGAGTGTCTGACATGTATTGTGATATTACATTACACACACACACACACACACACACACACACACACATATATATATATATATATATATATATATATATATATGAACTTTTGCCTTATTTCTTCCCTCTTTTCCCCTATTCCAGTTATACTTTTCTTTTGAGCACGCTCTCTTTCCCTTTCTTTATCTCAGTATCTGTTGTACATTTTGGATCTTATTACTCTTTCAGTTTTTTTTTTCTCACTAGGGAAACAATAAGATATTTACAAGTGTGAGTATGATTTATTTCACTTATCAGTATGGCCTCTAGTTGCCTCTATTTACCTATAAAAGCCTTAAGATTATCCTTTTTTATAGCTGAGCAATATTCCATTGTATAGGAATATCACACCTTTTTTATCCATTCTGTGGTTGATGGGCATTTGGTTTTTTTCCAAGATTTACTTATTATATATTTACTTTTGATGCTATAAACATGGGTATAGATATATCTCTGCAGCATGATATAACAAAAGCTAGCTGTATAACTACCTGAACTGTCTTGTACATACGTATATTTCCCCATCACAGTTTATCCCTTCCCTTGAACAGTTTCTTTCCAAGTAACAGTATGTATTATACACTTTTTTATTATTTTAAAGAGAAGAAAGAAAAAACAGAAAAATCAAGATGTAAACCTCAAAAACAACAAAAGCAAAATGATAGCAATAACAATAAAAAATAATAGCTATATAGGTTTTCAAAACAAGATGACAGTAATTGAACTAAGGTTGTTATACTGCATATTATTATCTTCAAAATAGTTGCTCAGGTTACCAGAAACAGTAAACAGTAAAATGAAACAAAACACTGGATTTCAAAAACAAGGCAAAAGGAAGCCCCCCAGAGATGCAACAATGTACACTACCATCCTCCAAACAGATGCCCAGACCACCAGCCCCAGGCCTGCAAAGTCGATCAAACAACCTAAGGATCAAGCTATTTCTTTCAGCTCAGTTGCCCTCTTACCCTGAATCCTCTGAATCAGCCTGTTGATTATGGGGAAGGGGAGGGCAGCATGGTGTGGTGTGCTCATTCGGGTTTCCAGCCTGGTCACAGGATGGTTCACCAGAGGGCGTCCTCTGTCCTCTTGCTGAGTAGTCTTTTCTAGATCCCATTGGTGGAGTCTGGTCTTGGGAGGCGGGCTTTAGGGTTTTTTTTTTTTTTTTTTTTTTTTTTTTGTACTAGAGATCAAACTCACAACCTTGTGCTTGCTGGGTAGGCTCTTGTGCCGCTGAGTTAAGTCCTTAGCCCTCACAGAGGTTTTATGTTTTGTCTACATGTGCACATTTATTAAGTTCTAAACTGAGGATTTGAATCCAGAACTGTCAGATTACAAGGGTCCTTCTTTTTCCAGTGTGCCTCGCTAACGAACCGGGCTGTCTTCAGGAGAGAATGCTGCACTGACATCTGGTTGGCAGGCAGGGAATATCCTAAGGGACAGGAAGCTTTTTATTCCGGTGCATGTTGGAGTCTGCTGAATTAGTTGGCCTAGATCTCAAAATCCATCTCGGAGTTCAGTATCTAATGTCCCCGCATCTCTTCTTCCATTCCTGTCTCCTTTTCAGCTAAAATTATCACCTCTTACAATATCTGGCTCCATCCTTTCTATAGCATGCTAGAATATTGGAAAGGTTTAGTTCAGGACTGGACTTCTCTTCCCAAAGGGTGAGGACTGTGGGGAAAGGAGGCAGACACGGGCACTGTTGTTTTCAGGTGGAATGACTGTATTCAGATGCTTTAGTCTGAAGTCTCAGAGCTTTCAGTAGCTCATTTGAGATGTCCCTGAGCTTTATGTAATTCCAGTATCAGTCTTTATTTTCCCATCTTGAAAATGAAATTACCATTTCCTCCAGAAATGTTGAACAATAGGATTTAAATAATTTACTCAGGTTCACATTGGTGATAATAATTATATAGATGATGTTCTCAACTATTTTTTATATCAAATTAACTTGAAACTTTTAAAATATGAACTGGTAACAGACTCAACAGTCCTATATTTCCTGACATTCCATATGTCTTAAGTGAAATCTTGTATGTTTATAGTTATTTTCAGGAAAATTAATAATAAATAAATTATAATAATAGTAAAATTATAACAATAAATAAAATTCAACTTAGTTTAACTCATCATTACATTGATGTAGCTTCTACTGTTCTTAAATGTATTTTTTCCAAGTACAGTTAATTTCTAACAAGAAAATAAAGGAAATAGTATTTGATGATGCTCATCAGATACCAAATGTCTCTCTGAATGGTTTTGTACATATTAATATAATAATAATATAATTTAAAGACGATACTGTAATTCAACATTCAATAATCAGCACAATTTTTAACATCTATTGTGCAAGCATCTGGAAATTCAAAGACGAAATGTACTTTCTGCTCTGATAGTGTCTTTTCAGGCAGATAAAGATAAAAATGTTGCAGATGCTATGACGCTGTTTTAAAACATAAATAATGCAACCATTCATCAAGTAAATGAAATTCTTGGCATAGTTTTGTCAGAAAAATAACAATGTAAGAAAGAGATAAAAATGTCCTACCTCACCAAGCTGACATTCTAATGGGCATCCTAAGAAGCATGAGGGATTGTTCACTTGAGGTTCACAAATAGTCTGATATAGAAAGTGGCATTTCTTTCTCAATCTTATTTAAAGGGATAAACAAACTCTAATTGACAGAGGAATGACTACTACAAATCTTTAGACCATCATTTATATATCAAAATGATTGAGCGAACATTGAAAGTAGAGCTACTTTTCAATTTGTAACTGTACACAGTTGAAGCAGTGCATACTGCATGTTATGAGTGGCAAGTTTCCAGGATCAGGGTCCTTTCTGGAGCTGGCTAGTTCCTAAAGCTGTCAGTTCTCCACATTTGCACCACCACAGAAGATAAATTCATTTACAGCTAAATAAGGTAGAATGGTACAATTTGTCTCACTTGATTCAGTGGTAATGCCTTCAGTTCTGTAGTGTACATTAGATCAGAACAGATTTTTCTTTCTTAAATGGACAACTTTCAAGGATATTGAGCTGTTTTTTCTGTTTTTAAGTCTTTCAATATTAATATAATCTCCCTGTGCCTTATCTATCTTATTTTCTGCTTGTGCAAAGATATTCACAAGTTCTTTATTCATTAAACTTAGTGAAGCATCACTTCACCAGATGACATCTTCATGAAATGACATTAAGTTATTCAAGGCTAATTTCAAGATGAACAAAAATATAACCTCTTGTAGGCTGCAGTTTTGTTGTGAAATAAACATTATAATTAGTGAATGTGGAATGCACCTCAAAAACTTCAAATGCCAAAACTTTGCAAGTTCCTGTAATTGATTTTATTTATATTAACATCAGAGAGCAGGGAGCTACATATTAGCTTAAGTATTATTCCTCCTTCTACCACAACCTGCAACTCGACTTGTTAATATATAGTATTAAGAAAAATTACAATATTCTATGAGATTACTCATCTAAACTTGCTTGCTCATAAATATCTTTGAAGCCCTTATCAAATGAATTATCTCATTACATAATTATTTGTTGGTATGGACTTTTTCTAAACATTCTTTAGTGGGATAACTTTGGTTATTTGAGAAAGAGGTATTTGTTGTCAACACTTCACTGGACTCTAAGGAAATTGACCTGCATGATCAAAGGAAGATGAGAAATAAAATTATTATTAGTCATTGGTAACAAAGGTCATATTACAGTTTATGAATCAGTAAAACTTCTAACCCAGTTTTCATTTTTTCACCAATTATCTTTCTGCATTGTTTCTTGAAGTTTAAAATAATTGTAATGGCGTGTTTAAAGGTAAATCCCTCGGCTCTACAACTAGACATCTGGAAATTTCATTTTCATAAGAACCAAGTTTTGGGGAGCTGTGTCCCTTGGACCTCACTTGGAGAAGTCATTCTGTAATCTTTCCCTTTGCCTCACTCTCTCCTTAGCCAAGTCCCGATGGGTGTCCTTCCATCCCTCCATCAGCTTGTCTCAATGTCACATTCTCAAGGTCACATAACAGAAAATTTCTAGTAAAAAATGAAGATCCTAATATACATCTAGTGACATATAGCAGCAGACATATAGCAGTTATAAAATAACTAGATTAATCTAGGAGTTATAAAATACTTTTGGTAGAATAACTTAATGTCATTTGAATAACTTAATGTCATTTTATGAAGATGTCATCTGGTGAAGTGATGCTTCACTAAGTTTAATGAATAAAGAACTTGTGAATATCTTTGCACAAGTTCTTTTCTTTTCTGTCACTTGACAAAAACAAAAGTATGCCTTTAAATCTATCTGTGAAGAAGAGTAAAATCAGTTAAATGTTAATAAAGTAGTTATTCTACCAAAAGTTATAAAATAGGAGTTATAAAATAACTCCTTGTACTTGTTTTCCCCTCAGATTTAAGATACTCCCTGAAGACTGAATTTTTGAGCCACAAAAGTGAGACTTCTCATTCTTGTCTGTTATTTACTTGTTTGGTGATTTGTGGCAGTTTGATTTTCTTAATTCTAGTTATTTTATAAAATGCATATTTTTTGATAATACTGATATAATTATGCAAAGTATTCAAAACTAGAAAATAGCAATTTCTCAAAAATCAATCTATTTACAGTTAATAATATTAGTGATAATAAACAATAAAATAAGAACAATCTAGGCAAGACTTTTGGTAGAATAACAACTTTATTAACATTTAACTGATTTTACTCTTCTTCACAGATAGATTTAAAGGCATACTTTTGTTTTTGTCAAGTGACAGAAAAAAAAAGAACTATCAATAGCAAACCCCCTTACACCCAGTGGCCTGGCCGGTTTATAACTTAGAGTTGGGATGGTGTAATGTTTGTTCTGTTGCTTTGAGGATGTCTCTTTTGAGATGGGCTTGTTTATCTTCAGCAGGTGATCAACTCAACATTCACCTGCTGGCCGTGGCGTCCCGCCTGAGGGAGAGTGCTGAATTGTTTCAGTCTGATGAGATGAGACCTGCCAATGACCCCAAGGAGAGAGCCCCCTCCCGCATCCGGATGCTGAATGACATCCTTCAAGACATGGAGAAGAGCTTCGTGGTACGGCAGGTGCCACCAGGCTTTTACAGGTGAGACCCCAAATTTAGAATTTTTGCACCAGGTGATTCTTTTATTTGACTCATAGAATATATATGGTCTGTGACTCCACCACTATTTAAAAAGAAAATATAAGGCGTGTATTTTCTCCCCCATTTGAGGAGATCACCCTTCCTCAAAGTTCTGGCATGCACGTGTATATGGGAGTGTGTGTAAACAAAGGATATTCGTTTAGCAGTGGCATATAGAAAATGACCGATTTTTTTACATTAACTCCATTAGGAATCAGATGTGATGCAACTACTGAAAAAAGTGAATGAAATTAACAAGTGATTCTTTCATGTTGGTAATCTGATCACAGCACATTTGGAATGCTAGTGGTACAAGCAAAAACACGTTGATTAAGTTAGTGCCCTAACTCATACATCACGTTTTAGGACTGAAAGCTTGAGTTTCAGAAATTTGGTACTGTACTAAACTTTTACTATAGTTATTAAAATTATGCATAGAAGCCATTCTTTTCCTTAACTCAAATGCTGGCTCATGTGGTCAATCAACGTTCAGCTTTTTTAAGAACCCATCAAACGGTCTCATAGTGACCGCACCATGTTGCATTATGACAAGAAATAGATGTCATTTTTGTTGCTCCACATCTTCATTCGCACTTGTTGATGATGGGTTTGATACTAGGTATTCTAATAGGTTGATGTTGGTATTTTGTCCTTGATATTTGCAATTGCCTAATGACATGATCTTGAGCATCTTTTTACCTGCTTAGTGTGTGTGTATATATATATATATATATATATATATATATATATATATATATACATATATTTGCAATAAGACATATATTCAGATCTTCATCCTACTTTTAATGTAGTTTTTTTTTCTTTTTGTTGAGTAGTAGGAGTCCTTTTGTACTTTGAATACTAGTTCTTTACCAGATACATGTTTCATAAAGATTTACTCCTAGTTTCTGGTTTGTCTTTTCATCCTGTATCCTTTGCACAGCAGCAGTTTTAATTGTAATGAATGCCAGCTTACTAATATTTCTTACATGTATTGTTCTTTTTGATGTTGTATCTATAAAGTGATAATAAAGCTCAAGTTCACCTAGCTTTTCTCCTATGTAATCTTCTAGTAGTTTCATAGTTTTGCATTTTGCATGTAGTTGTATCATCCATTGTGGGTATTTTATTGTGAAAAGTATAAAACTGAGCTCTAGATTACTTTTTGTGTATATGCATCAATGTTAAGTTGTTCCAGAATTGTTTGTTTAAATATTATCTTTTCTCTACTTTGCTTCTTTGTCATGCAATATTATTTCAACATGGCTTATATTGCCAGCATCTTAGTTGTTCACAGTAGAAAAGCCTTCATAATCAATATCAGGTAAAAATGATATTGTAGAAAGAAGTCTGACTTAAGAGTTTCAAGAGTGTGAAGAGGTTTGAGTAGCAGAAGTTGCTTTTCCTTTTAGAATTACTGGCAGCATCTGCATATCAGTTTCTCATCTATAAAAATGTCAAATCTCAAAGAGATAAATATTATGATATAAATTGATAAAATGGGGGTAAAATATGAAAAGAAAATGCATGAACTTTTGATTCCTACGCAAACATAATAAAATAAAAATGATTTTATGGCAGTATGCTGTTTTAGAATATGATATTTTTTTTTCATTTCTAAATTCTCTTCCTCATATCACCAAGATAAAAATATTTTAAAATTGTGACACAAAACTTTCTCGTCCTCAATGTCTCTAAAGTGAAGTAGCTTATAGTTTTAGTTTTTAAATATATAGCTAATTCTCTTAATAAACACTTTCTCATTGTTTGGCTTTGAGAGAATTGCAACATCCTATAGCAAAACACAGAGTTTAGGGTGAAGGGATGGAATTATATATGCAAGTAAAATTTGTTAAACAAAATATCAAATGATGCTAACTTCCAAAATAAATGACAAAATTGTGCAGTAAAAAAATAAATGTATCAGACCATTGTTTTAAGTGTGCAGGAGTCCAGGTGTCTTTTGGGCCAGATTCTCCTCATAACTTTAAGATTTGAAATTTGAACTACTTTCTAGATTTTTCAACCAACCATTTTTTGACTGGTATTCCGTGTTTGCATTCTTCCTTGATTATTTCAGTGAGATTCCTGGCCTGGTTAATTATTACAGTATTTAAGGACATGGGTACTCAAGGCTGCTGCTGTATTTCTGTAAAGTCTTCTTTTCATCCATACACCAGTCCACATATTCTTAAAAATGGAAAAGCACTAAGCACAGTATCACAGTATTCCTCATTTTAGATGGCTGATCATACACATAGAAAGATCTCTGATTTTAAATTTTTAGTATACAAATAAAAAGCCATGGGATTTCAAAACTTCTGATGCCAAAAATTATTAGCAAAAAATTTCTGTTAATAGGAAACCTAAATATATGAGTGCAAGATATGTTAACCTTTCCTAACATTCATACATTAATTTAGAATAGTTGCATAAAATTCCACATTTTTTTACACATTTAAAGGGATAGCAGTTAAACAGAAGAAGTTAATAATAGTTTTAGTTTTCCTCATTCTGACACATATGCAGGCACATACGTGAATATTACACCACTAATTAGTTAGCCAGCATTTTAAGGGAATTTTGCAAAGGGCTAGAAATCTGATGTAGTTTTCAAGAAGAGAATAAGAGATTTACTGTTGTATTTGTAATGTAGTAGGTTTGATTTGAATGATGCAGGGAAGTGTGAATAACATGAGCCAGTGTCTCATGTGGGCTGCCAACTAGAAATGGGACTCTAAGGGAAAGGAAATATTGTCAAGCTCCATGATTTAAAAAATGAATGAAAGGCTAATTGTGAGCTTTAAAAACAAATGTATTGATTACATTGCAATATTGTCCCACTGTGCTTTCTAGTATGTGGAATTTCAACCCTATATTGGTTAAGTAGCAACTCTACAGCATCTTTAATGATGTTTTTGGAAGGATATATCAGACTATGAAACAGTGGACATTACCAGGAGTTAAAGAAATGCAGCTTACCTGCAAGTTAAGGAGAAATATTCTGTACCTGTGCATATGGTACTAGTTTTGTGTCCTTGTGAAAGATATCACAGTGATTTGTAATAAAGAATATTCTTTTGGAGATAGGCAGAGTGGCCTTGTGGAAGTTAAGAAGACCATTTCAAGATAATCCAACCAAAACAATGTTTTGTTAGCAACCTTGAAACAGGAAAATAGCAGTTAAGAAGTATCTGCCTTGACCCAAGAATAAACAAATCATGCATTCAGTCAAAAGTATAATAAACATATAATCTTGCAAGCATTTTTTTAAATGCTGGAAGTAATTTTAGGCAAGCAAACACATTATTCAGAACTATTAAAAAATAATTCTCAAATACTATGTGATCACATTCCCAGCTACGTATATATAGGATATTTGATTTTAAGATTTTAAAATAATATTGCAGAATAAAAATGATCTCAATGTACAGTTTTCATAGTGTTTTAATTAGAGTTAGTTTTATAAGTACTAATAAAACCTCATGTTCAGCGTTTGATTGGGATAATGACTACTTTGTTCTAGTTATACTTTTTTTTTTTTTAGTGAGGTGTAGGTGGTCTGAATAAAACTAAAATCTTACCATTGTTTCTCTTGTCATGAAATGTATCAGCAATGCCTGTGATTATTTTAGACTGAAAAAATACGGTGATTAAGAATTACCATAATACTTTACAAATATTTCTATAGCAAGAACTTGCACAAAAGAATATATGTACAAATCTACACATTATAAGTCTCCAAAAAAGGGCTGAAAATCTGGCTCATGCATAAAATATTTATATTGCTGATCATTATATGTGTTAATTTTTAGCTTTTTATGAACAAAGGTATATATTAGCTTCATAATTATGTACCCCTTTCAAGTTTTTAAGGTACCTACTTCTAAAAGAAGCAAAAATCTCCTAAATTTCAAGAGAAACAAAATCAACATGCAAAAATTCAAGCTTCATTTTTTTAATCACTCATTTTGTTAAAATTAAAATAGTGATTTCCATTGTTATAGACCATATCTACACAAAATTTGGTGAGACATTTGACATTTAAAAATTTCAATTGACAACCATCAGTTTATAGGGGCAATTAGTCTGTGATCCAATGTAGTAATATCAAAATAGAAATCCATGTATAAACTCTTTTTGGATTTTTAAAAAATATCTCTTTCAGATTTTGAGGTTTCTTTCTGTTTAAAATGAGAGGAAAATATTACATTATCAAATTTGCATTCCAAGATGCATTGTTATTCTGAAGGCAGATTTGTGACTTGATAGATTTAGTACAGAAACTAATAATAATAATGATAATAATCCTTGTCTTAAAGGAGGATTTGCTTGGTACCAGGCACAGTGCTGTACAGTTGTATATAGTCCTTATAATGCATCTAACAATCCTGTTAGACTGCCTTTATTTTCCTCTTTAAATAAATAGGAAAATGGAGACTTAGGGAAAATTAGTGTGTGGCAGAAGTGGAACTTAAACTTGGCTTGTGTTTTCTAGAGCCACTGCTCCTTCTGGCAGACAGTGCCACATACATTTGCCTCATCTTCTCAGAAGTTACTAATGAATATAGTTAGAGGTTTGTGTTAATATAGGACCAGTTCATACAGTATAAAATCATGAATAAGTCTGATTTTAATATGTGCTTTTTAAATTTCCTTTGTTCAGTCCTTCAGAATTATATTGTCTAACACTTAGATTGCAAAAATGCCTCTGTGAGGTACCATATCCCTCCCTTCTCTTGGAAATAATATGCCCTGTTGTCCCAAGTCAATCAAATATCTGTCCTCAAAGGTTGCCTATGCTATAGCGGATATGGTATTTTCAGGTATGCTATTTGGTCAAATTATATGGTTAATGTTTAAATTTTTAAAAATTACTATGGTAAAAGATATTTCCATCCTTTCTCCAAATATACCCCTTGCTTTAAACGCGCTTAGCTCATCCTACTTGCTGATGCAGT